GTAGCTTGTTTTTGGGGTCAATTGGTTTCCTCTTTGTAGTCAAAATGTGTCCATACTGGGGACCGTTCATGATTCTGAGTTGTCTTTCTACTAGCTCTAGAACATGCTGTAATGTGGGGTTCAATTTGGTCTCATGACGAATTTTTGGAACATTCTTTACCCACTCTATCCGCATGTGCATTGGCAAACGATCAACAACTCTCTCAACGTTAGATGATGCATTAATTTCCTGTTTGTAATTCTCATTGTCCTTTAAGACTTCTAAACAGGAACGTAAATTATTTCTGAGCTTAGCGAGAGAGTTGTTGTCTCCCCTTTCAATGAGAGGACCCACCGTGACTCGTTTTAGGGATGCATTGACTACGCTAGAAGGATGACCATACTGAGGCTCTAACATTTTCATGGCTTGACTAAAACCGTTTGATTTCAGTTCACAATGTTCAATTGCGTCTCTAGCATCACCTTCTACGAAACTGAGAAGACGAGTTATTTTTTCTCTTTCATCAAACTCTCTTTCGTTTAACCAAACCTCCACCCGCTTCTTAAAAACAGGAAACTGAGCAGGGTCACCTCTAAATTTCATTGGCTGGGGTTTCGGAATCCCTTGCCGCTGTAACATGGCTTTCATAACGGTGGTTGTTTCGGTTCCCTGCTTCATGGCACTAACCAATTGCAGATTCATTTCGAGTAATGTAGTTGTTAAATCAGGTTTAGTTTTGTCAACGCTTGGTTTAAACTCGGGTGAAGATGGCTCCGTGTCATTGCATTTCTCAGAAAGGGACGCAATCCCTTGCTTGCTATCGACCACTGATTCGGGTGGCGATTTGACTAACTCAGGCCGAGTTGAGGGGTGATCTGTCTTGTAGAAAGCTCTGTCCTGTGGTGTCGAATTTTTTACGTCTACCTTCATATTAACCCTGTTACCAGCTACAGCCTTTGATAAACTACGCATGCTTCCGCAGTCACTATATCTTTCGTCTGCCTGATCGACTGCCAAAAGTTCGGCTTCTAACTGAGAATACTCCACTTGGTCCCGCAAATCTTGTAACTCACGTTCTATCTGTTCTTGCATTTGTTTTTCCTTTGCTTTTGCCTTTTGCTCTTCTCTCTGCCTGCTCTAGTTTCAACCTTGCTAATTCTGCTGAACGAGCCGCCGTCTTCACCCTAGACGACACAGAGAACCCCCCTGAACGTCTACTCTTTGACGACTTTGACATGGAAACACTACTTTGTACTGACACAGAAAGTTTACCATCGTCTTTAAGGTGAAGACCATTCTCAAACTTTGAGTTTCTCTGTAAACTGCGAATGCTCTTGTCAAATTGACCAATAGCTAGTTGATTACATTCATTTATTTTTCGTTCGAGACTTTGACGTTGGATGCTAATACAAATAAAATAGTCTCTTTTACCTTCAATTGTGCTTTTCGTCTTAGTGGGACCTCCAAATTGTTACCCCGCGTTACATTGTTACTAAAACAATACCACGGATGACTTTATTTTGTTTTATTTAAAGGTGCCCTATAGTCCGATCTGCGCATGTGCAAAAAGGAGCCCACTTTTTATGATACAAACAGTTTAACTATGTTTTGGTTTCTTGCAAAGCCTGATTGTTGTTTCTTGATCATTTATTATATTCTAAAAGCTTGAAAATATAAATAGTTGTCGAATAAAACTCAATATTTTCGACACAAAAATGTAAACAAAGGCTTTGTTTACATACGGACTGTAGGGCACCTTTAAGCTCTGTTTTCTATTTTATCTCACGATATATCGAGTTCGCCTCGTGTTCTCTTCTTTGTCTCTCTTAACACTTCGTGTAAACTACATTATTGTGGTTCGCCTAAATACTTCATGTAAACTACATTATTGCGATTCGCATACATACTTCATGTAAACTACATTATTGCGGTTCGCCAACAGTTTTAACAATAAAATATTTCATGTATTTACGTTCATTTGTTCTTTAATTTGTTGTTTCTTGACTATTGATATATATATATATATATATATATATATATATATATATATATATATATATATATATATATATATATATATATATATATATATATATATATTGATATTCGCCTCGGGAAACATCGACGGTCTCGGGTCCACAAAACACACTGTTTCCCTCGGTCTCAGTAAATAAGTGATAAATATTATACAAATAATGAATGTTTATGAGTGCAATGGTAAGAATATTTTCATGAGGTGAAAGATGGAATGTTCCATTCAACGAGGCGACAGCCGAGTTGAATGGAACATTCCATCTTTCACAGAATGAAAATATTCTTACCATTGCACGAATAAAAACATTCCTTATTTGTTTTATATAATACCAAAATAGACTAATATTAAAATGTTTACTGTAAGCTTTCGCCATTTTGACGAATCGTATTTGCATTAAATCCCATTTGCTGAGTTTCGAATATCGGGTTAAAATAAATTGCGATCACCGTACGAAAAGCATTTTGACGGATGCGATTTATCGAAAACACAAAGAGTGCAATGGAACAAAACGTATAGTACAATTGCACTCGCAACGAATGCAATGGAACTTATTCCATTGCACTCTTGGGAAATGGAATTTTCTATTCAATATCACGTGACCATAAATAGCCAATTAAACGATTAGAATTCAATAAGGTATTATATAAATTTTACTATACTATACTTTACTATAATTTACATTCGTGATAGTCCAAGTTAAAAGCATTTATACGTTCAATATGAGTATATATATTGGTTGGAAATAGATTTGGCTGACGCTTGTTAATTTATAAAACTGCGAGTCGATTCACAACATTTAAATTAGTACAAAACAACATAGGATACAACAAAGTCTTGGAATTATCGATATACATAATTCTTAGGATAAATATTAATGCCAGCATAAAGCACGTAAACGAGCCATAAAAAAAATATAATTTAAAATATTTATTAGAAAGCTAACGTTTCGTCTTTAACTTAAGACATCTTCAGAGCAATGACATACAAAGCGGAAAGCACAGAAATATGAATTAATTACAACTATTTACAAGATATTATATTACAAAAGTAGAAAGAGGAATGGATCTGAGTAGAAGTAGAGGGACCGAGCTGCCCTATAAGTTGAGAGAGGGTTTGAGTTTGTTAATGAGAAGACTTTCTCGAATGAGGAGTTCGTCTGGAGAAGAGCAACAAGAAATAATCTTAAAATCATTAAGTGAGGCGGAGTGACCAGTGCTATCAAGATGGGAAAGGATACTAGACATGGTCGGATTGCTGCTTTTACTGCCTGTTAGAAGAGAAACACCCAAATGTTCAGAAACTCGTGTGTGCAAGTGAGGGACCGTTTGGCCCAAATACGTTGCGGAACAGCAACGACACGTGAAGGAATACACAACACAAGATCTTAAAGCGTTAGGAATTTTGTCTTTAAGGGTTATAAGACATCTTCAGAGCAATGACATACAAAGCGGAAAGCACAGAAATATGAATAAATTACAACTATTTACAAGATATTATATTACAAATGTAGAAAGAGGAATGGATCAGAGTAGAAGTAGAAGTAGAGGGACCGAGCTGCCCTGTAAGTTGAGAGAGGGTTTGAGTTTGTTAATGAGAAGACTTTCTCGAATGAGGAGTTCGTCTGGAGAAGAGAAACAAGAAATAATCTTAAAATCATTAAGGGAGGCGGAGTGACCAGTGCTATCAAGATGGGAAAGGATACTAGACATGGTCTACCTCTACTCTGATCCATTCCTCTTTCTACTTTTGTAATATGATATCTTGTAAATAGTTGTAATTTATTTATATTTCTGTGCTTTCCGCTTTGTATGTCATTGCTCTGAAGATGTCTTAAGTTAAAGACGAAACGTTAGCTTTCTAATAAATATTTTAAATTATATTTTTGTTATGGCTCTTTTACGTGTTTTATGCTGGGCATTAATATTTATCCTAAGATTACGATTTCCGCCTGGTTCATCTATCGCAAGTATACATAATTCTGTTATCAGGCTATATATAAATTTTAATAGCCATCACGATCCGTTCAGAATGCATTTACTGTGAACTGTGAACCGCTGTGAACGATGATGTATTACTCAGCCACTCCTCCCCAAGTAGCATATAGGGCGCTTAAGACACCCCAAATTTTGGGGTGCCACGTGACCAGCCTATACGGGGTCTTTGCCGGAGCATGTTTGGGAGAGAAGCGGAAGTAGAGAGCCTGGCTTGCGAGGTTGGACAACTTGGGGGAAAACCGCAATGGTGAATGTCTATGAAAAAATCAAGTTTGTAACACACGCTGAATCGTACTACAAAAAACTGCACTATTAAAACTTAATTCTATAAAATTCAAGTTTAAAGGTGAGTCAATAAACAAAATTGTTTTGAAACTAGTGAATATAATCAACTAGTTATATGAACGAACACAATTAATGTGTTCCCTATCGGACTATAGAAATACAATACATTTAGCATTATCTATACAATCTGTGTTGAAAATATATTTCTTGATGTTGCTATAGTAATGCAGATGTCAAATCTAAATCGCATCAAAAATAGCAAGATTGGCCATGGCAACTGAAAGCGATTTATAGCGCGTTTGTTATCGTTTCCTATTAAATTTCACTTGGTGTTTATATAGGAACCGAACTGCCATAATTTGTATGCGAATATGTTGTAAATGAAATTTCTTTCGATCGATTTCAATCTTAAGAAGTATTTGTTACCCTTTCTGTGGGTTTTAACCGGGTGAAACTTGTTCGGGAAAGTATGATTTTAGGTTTCTTGGAAAATGTGTTTCTATTTACTGAGCACGAATCCTTTATTGGTTTCTGAGAGCCGCCTTGTCTGAATACGATTCTTATGTAAACACAGAAAACATTCATCACGAAAAAGCGAACTAAACCGGCATGGTGGAAAAGATGGAGTGCGGAGTCGGAGTACGGAGAACGGAGTTTGTCAAAAATTGTTTATTTTGCCTAAAGATTCGATTTTAATGAGACTCCACGTTTTCCACTTTATGGGGGCATAAAGTGGAAAAACGTTCAATTATTGATCTGCCATCTGTTGGGTCTACAACGTATATTTATAGTTTATTAAAAAGTCAAACTGTCAAACCTTTGACTTGTCCTTTTTATATTCCACTGTATTGTATAAATTCGCTGGGTCCACATTTTGGGGTTTTAGACTCGTTACACAAAGAAAAACGCATTAATTCAACAAGCAAGAAAGTCCAGAGTGCGACACAACGTAAATCCATAAGAAACCGGCACAGTTCTTTGAAAATTCAACAAAACTGTGTGAAATATATATAGATCATTCAGTGAAAAGCCGCCATTTTCAAACTGGACTGAATATGTCACTGGAGCACTCTACCCTTGGAGTTCGGAATTGTGCGCGTGCGTACAAGTGTATAGACTGATAAACGAAAAATGTACCACAAACATGGCATGAATCGGCTATTACGTAAATAAATACGAACTTGTTACTATAATATCGAAACCGAGGAGTCGACGGCATTTTGGCTTAATCGTTGCACAATCAGGGATTTAAGACACTTTACCTTTCAGGTCAGTGTAATAAACAATTTTTTGACAGACTCCGCGTTTTCATTTTATGCCCCCATAAAGTGGAAAACGCGGAGTCTCGTTAAAATCGAATCTTTAAGCAAAATAAACAACTTTTTGACAGACTCCGTACTCCGTACTCCGACTCCGTTCTCGTACTCCGTCTTTTCCACCATGTCAGCTAAACCGACTTGACTCATGTATAAACAGCCCCTCAGACAAAAAAATCGGAAAACACGAAACGAGCTATACAAATACAGCATTAGAACTTTTCAACGAGTGTGAGAAAAGATAAGCGAAGACAATTGCCGAATCGAAGTCGACTTGTGCTTGATTATCAAGGCCTTGGTTTGTCGGAAACGAGTTTAATATATATATGAGTGCGAAAAGTTGGAAAGCTCCTAGAGACGTGTGATGAATACGTAATGGCCTTATAGTTGCAAAAAACTTGATGAAATTGAAATACTCAACTCCTTATAGTCCAAGCACGGTGGGTATGTGAGCTAGGCGCA